GATTAGATTCAATAATAAATTTTAAAGAAATTATTCGAAGAAATCCAATTATTATTAACAATTTTGATACAATTCTTTTATACTTTTGAAAATAATTGAAATTTTAATAAGAAATTTATTAAAATTTTTCAGAATAATTTAATTTTGGCCAATAGTTTTGCTATTTATAAAGATAATTGAATTCTTGACGACTTTAAAAAAAAAATTTGAACTGAATTCTGCGAATAATTTTATTACCTTTGATAAAAATAATTGAATTTTGCAAAAAATTTTATTAATATTCCTAAAAATTATTGAATTTCAGGAAGAATTCTGTTTTTTATCAAGATAATTGAACTCTTCGAAAAAAAACTTAATTAGACAGAATTATTAGTGAAAAATATTAAAAATTAAAATTTTCAAAGATTTTAATTTGAAACCTTTTCAAAATTCAATTATTTATTTAAATTTACACTCTAATGCTTTTAATATTCAATTTACAATCTAAAATTTTAACTGAAATCTATTTTTAAATCAATTTTCATGAGAAAATTTTACGAGATTCAATTATTTAAATACAAAAAAAACAATTTATGGAATAAATTTTGAAGAACAGAATAGAATTCTATTCTATTATTATATTAATATAATTAATTAATTTTTCGTGAAATTCGACTAAAATTGGATTAAAAAATTGAAATTCTATTATAAGTTCTATTATTCATGAAAATAATTGAATTCCTAAAAAGAATTCATTAAATATTTTCGTATTACTTACGAAAATAATTGAATGCCTGTAAAAATTTTATTATTTATGAAAATAATTAAATGCTTGCATTGAGAAAATTTTTTGAAAATAATTGAAATTTTGCCAAATAGTTTATTAAAATTCTTGAAAATAATTGAAATTTTGACGAGAATTTCAAAAATATTTTTAACATAATTGAATTTCTGCGAAGAAATTTTTTAAATAATTGAATTCTTTTGGAAAATTTTATTCAAATAGTATATATTAAAAATCATTGAATTGAGGTAAATTTTTGAAAATAATTGAAATTTTGCCAAAAATTTTATTCAAATTCTTGAAAATAATTGAATTTCGAAGAAGAATTTAATTATTTCGAAAGATAATTGAAATTTTGACGAGAATTTTTAAAAATTTTTGAACATAATTGAATTTCTGCAAATAATTGAGGGGTTGGATGCTATAATGTGTTACGCGCCATTCACTTAACATGGCGCGTAACACATTATATCATCCAGCCCCTCAATTTTTTTAAATAATTGAATTCTTTTGGAAATTTTTTTTCAAATAGTAGATATTAAAAATCATTGAATTGAGAAAATTTTTTGAAAATAATTGAAATTTTTCCAAACAGTTTATTCAGATTTTTGAAAATAATTGAATTTCAGAGAAGAATTTAATTATTTCTAAAAATAATTGAAATTTTGACGAGAATTTGAAAAATCTTTTGAACATAATTGAATTTCTACGAAGAATTTTATTACTTTTAAAAATAATTAAATTTCTGCAATCATTTGTAATTTATCTAAAATTATCCAAATTATATTGTACGATTGACGAAATTTTCATCCTTTTTCAATCAAATTACGAACTTTACGAACCTTTTTTTCAAAAAACGGACTTCTACGGGATTTCCGAACCTAGTTCGAGCCCTGTTATTTGCAGAAAAAGCAGAAACATCTTTTCTTTAAAAAAAAAAGCAAAAAAAATCCTTGAAAAAATGTCATCGAAAATTGTTAGAAACCATACAAATGATATCAAATTTTATCCGCAAGCACAAGTCGAGAAAAACAGTTGATCAAAAGTTATTGGCGGTAGCTTCTCATGTAACAAATTGCAAACCTGATAAAAAAAGAAGAGTACAAAAATGTCTCTTGGCGGAAAATTCTTTCCACAAAAACAAAGAGAGGTCGATATCTCAAAAAATGTACAGAACAAAATAAAAAAGAAAAGCAACATCTTCTCCTGTCGAACGAAAATTCGTCACAATTCACATTTGAAATTTGAAATCCCATATGCAAAGATATTTTATACAAAATAAAAATCAATATATAGATAGGTACACAAAATGGAAACGTGATATTCTTTTGTTTTAGCGCGCAATATTTTTTAAAATATATCCGCACATGATTTTTTTTTCTCAATTCTTTTGTGTTAAAACTCTCTCTGTGTATATACTATTTTTTTGTTATACTTTTTTCGACGAGACGAATACTTTTAAACGCCCGTTTTTTTTTTTTTTTTTTTTTTTTTTTTTTTTTGAAAGAGTAAATAAATAACAATGAATCTTGTTACTTGGTATGAAAAATATATTGGTTCTATTTATAACAGAAAAAAAGGGGGGAAAAACACTCTCGGAGTGGACATTAATATTCGATTCGTTCTCGTTATGAAAAGTGAAACTATTGTCGAAATCAATCACTGCTAATTAATTGTCTCTTTGCGATAACTTGAAATCTGAACGTGCTCATCAACCGTATAAAATGCACATTTGTATGGATACTCGTACGAGCTTTAATTAAAAACCAAGTAGCACGATCCGCGCTAATCTGGCTTATTTTGTGTATACATATATAGAAAATGTGTTCTATTGCTCGTAGAGCCGCAATCTAAGACAAGATGTTCCTTCTTTTTTCAAATAAAGAGAAAATTAAATTTTCCATTTTTATTCATATGTTGCATTTTTTATAATAAATACTAATAATTATTAATAATTAATTATCTATAAGGATAATTAATTATCATAGAAAAATTAAATTTAATTACATAAATTATTTACATAAATTATTTAATAAATTATTTAATGAATAATTTTACTTAAATATTTCAAAATTAATTCAATTTCAAAAGAGTTGCGTTTACAATTTTCATAAGTAAATGAACTTCAAACAGATTCAATTTAAAATTTTATAAAATTCCAATGTTAAATGAATTTAATTAGAAATTTTAATGAACTTGGATTTTTAAAAAATTTTAATAATTCAAAATCATTTAAAATTAGTTATATTTATCAATATGTATTTAATTAATTATTGAAAATAATGGATTTATAGAAGAATTTTAGTCAAAAACACTAAAAAAATTTAATTTTTAAGAAGTTATAAATTTTTGCAGAAATTCAATTATTTTCGATTGTTTCGAATAATTTCATTAAAATTTATTATTCAATCATATCGAGAATTTTTTAAAAATTGTATTAAAATTAATTTAATTTCTACGAAAAAGTTTTATTAAAACATTTTGAAAATATTTGAATTTCTGTAAAAATTTTGATATTTATGAAAATAATTGAATTTTAGCGACTTTTTCACAGCAATTTAATTATTTTTGAAAATCTTAGTCCTAATTATTATCCCAATTATTATCTTTATAAATAAAAAAATTCTTCTTCAAAATTTAATTATTTTTAAAAAATTTTAATAAAATTCTTGTCAAAATTTCAATTGCGTCAGCAAAGTTTAATTATTTTCATAAATAATAAAAATTTCACAGGAATTCAAAAATGTATAAATTTTTTATAAGTTTCTTTTCATTAATTCAATTATTTTTGGAAATAATCAAACTCATCGCAGAATTTCAATTATTTTAAGTACAATTTTAATCAAACTCCTTGAAAAATGCAAGTATTTTAAAAAATTTTCTTAAAATTCGTCAAAAGAATTCAATTATATTTAAAAATGTTTTAATAAAATTCTTTAAAAGAATTAAATTTTAAAAAACATTCAATTATTATTTATTAAATAAATTACTTTCGTATTTAAATAATTGAATTCTCGTAGAATTTTCTAATAAAAATTGGTTTGAAAATTAATTATTGTTTAAATTTTAGATAATAATAGAAAATGAGAATAATTTTTAAGAAGTTACAGTAACAATTTTTTTAGAATATAAAATAATGATTTTATTACTTGGTCATCTTTAATTTATTATAAAACATGAAGTTATGTAAATAAAAATTCCATCTTATGTAAATCTAAATTTTAATAGTATCTATATAAATTAAAATTTTATTTCTATGTAAATTGAAATTTTATTTTTATATCCTAAATTAGAATTTTATTTTTATATGTAAATTGAAATTTTATCTTTACGTAAAATAAAATTTTGATTATCGTAACTCTATGTCGGAGTGTGAACAAACAAAAGTCTAATTTGTTAAGTCCAGTTGAAAATTTAATTTTCACTATATTGAAAAACTAGTTAACAGCTTAGTTTAATTAGTTTTGTTGGAGAGACAAAATTTCAAATTTAACTATAGAAAAAAATATAGATATATATATTTGAAAAAAAAATACAAAATTCAGTAGTACAGTATTGATTCCATCAGACAGAATTTTCATCGCAATGAATATAAGAGAAAAATCATTCTAAGTAGTAAGAAACATGTACAGTCGGACAAAATTTCTTGTTATCGACAAACAGAAAAGTTGTCAGACATTTTTTATTTGTACTATTTTTTTATTTTCTACCATTTTTAAATTTTTTATTTTCACTATTTTTTTTTTTTTTTTTTTTTTTTTTTTTGACAAAGTCCCTTAAAAATTTAATTATTTGCAAAAATAATAAAATTCTTCACAGAAATTCAATTATTTAAAAAAAAAAATTTAATACAATTCGTTGCAAGAATTCAATTATTTTTATAAATTATTTGCAAGATTTCAATTATTTTTATAAATTATTTGCAAAATTTCAATTCAATTATTTTCTAGAAATTTATCTAAAATTTTTCTCTAATTCAATTATTATTATTTTTTTTTTTGAGAAAGTTCAGATTTGAAAATTCAAATTTGAAAATTGAAAAGAAAATTGAAATTTGATTAAAAAAATATTTTTCTTCTGAAAACTTTGATTATAAACGTTGTGTATACTTGAGCAACGTAAAGTAGAAAGAATTTTTATTCCTTTTTGCTAATAATTATATGTAAATAAAAAATAAATAAACAATCATTATTATTGCGCTTTTAACGCTATTAACGAAATAAATTCGAAATTACAGAAAATGGACGGGAACAAGGACGGTGTTGTGACGCTATCCGAATTTCTAGAGGCATGTCGAGCAGATCCTGATATTTCCACTAACATAGCGGCCTTTGATACGGCTTTCTGACACTCGATGCGACCACTTAACACGCCCTGGACCTGAACAAAGTCCCTGCAAGCGGAAATTGATACAGCATCCGAATTTTTACTTTCTCACTTTTTGCGGATGTTTAACAAAGGAAAAAGAAGAAAACTCTTCGACATTTGATGTTTTCAAGACAGTTTGTGAATTTTTCACATACCTCTGCTCCAGTTTCTCAATGAAAAAGAAAGAAAAAGAAAGAAAAAGAAGAAGAAGACGAAATAATAAAGAAAAAAAGAAAATGTAATTTGACAAGAAAACAGAAAAAGAAGTCTGTAGAAGAAGCTCAACTATCGACACCTGCCATTGTTCTCGTGAAAAAAAGTACATCGTTAGAAAATATCTCGTTCAAGGTAAAAAAAAATAAAAACAACACCTTGAAATCATTTTATTTCTCTCGAAAAGCAATTTACAATTTTGAGGCTTGTAGACAAGTATAAAAAAAATTAATTCTATTTTTGAAAAAATATTACAATAATTTCGATTTTTGAATTATTCAAAAAATTGAAATTTTTATTTCCTTTTAAATATTTTTAGTATTCTAACAAAAACCTCAAACTTGCATATAGAAAATTGTGAAATGAAAATGTTTCCAATCCCTTTTTTATAAACAATAATTCATTTAATAGTTAATAATTTTAATTCCAATAAATGATTTAATTAATAAATACTTAATTTATTGAAAAGAAACAATTTAATTTCCAAACGATATACGTCCAACAATAACAATATTTAATTTTACAAACAAAAAAAAAAGTTTTCATGTTTACACAGTGCCAAAAATAGCTTTGTGTTAAAGAAAATAAAATGAAGGAAAAAAAATGAACCGAGCATCATTAACCGTTCGTATTTTATAGCATAATTTAGTAAAGTAAAAAAGCAAGTACTGAACATTTTTATTGCGCCAGCTTTTTGCAAATATTTTATTATCACTCATATAAAATATACACATTTTCATTTCATAATGACGTGTGTATATATTTAAAGCAAAAAAAAAAAAGAGAAAAATGACACCAGGCTTTATGAGCCACTTTGCAAATCAACGCGGCTAATTAGACAAATACTTTTTACAAAAAAAAAAAATCTATTGTAGAATATTTTCAAATATGGTGTCGATATAATAGAAATATTTTCAAATATAAATAAATTATAATTCGATGCTCAGATGAATAATCCCGTATGAATAGTATTAATTTTTAATTATTAATTTTTATTTATTTTTATCTTTAATTTAAAAATTCATTTTCCATTTTTTATTTTTCTATAATTTTAAAACAAAATTATTTTCTATAAATAAAGACTTGAATTATTTTTTATTAAATAAAAGATTGAATCGTCTATTAATTTTTGAGAACGAAAAAAAATCAACTTTTCGAGAAAAAAATACTTTTGCTAATACTCAAATGAAATTCAAGTGGAAAATTTTATTTTGTAAATACTAAATATCGAAAAATTTCATTTGAAAACAAAATTGAACGGATTTCAAAAAATTCTATTCAAGTTTTAAAAAAAAAGTATTTAAAATTCACAAGGAGAAAAAAAATTATTTTCTAAATTAAATGTATAAAAATATTTTTTTAAGAATTTTTTTTTCCAAACTAAAAATTGAATTATTTTTTCAAACTAAAAATTCAATTATTTATCAAAACTAAAAATTGAATTATTTTTCAAAACTAAAAATTGAATTATTTTTTAAAAACGAAAAATTCAATTATTTTTCAAAACTAAAAATTGAATTATTTTTCAAAACTAAAAAAAAATTATTTTTTATCGATTAAAAATATTGAATCGTCTACTAATTTTTCTAAATGGAAAAAAAATCAATAAAATACTTTTCTAAAATATTTAATAAAATTCAAATGGAAAATTTATTTTTTAATTCGCTAAAATATTCCATTTGAAAAGAAAGTGAACTTGGAAAAATTCCATTTGAAAAAAAAATGAAAGGAATTCAGAAAATGTTATTCAAATTAAAAAAATATTTAAAATTCAAAGAGGAGAGAAAATATATTGAAAAATTTATCCTTTGAAATTCAATTTAGAAAGAATTTTTTTTTAATTCGAGAACATCTATATATTTTTAAGATACATAGAAAAAAATATGACTTGACGTTATAAATATATATAATACAGTTTGTATAGGCAATGAAAAGAAAAGAAAAAAATATATAAATAAAAATATAAATATAAATTATAAATATATAAATAGTTATTCACAGACATAAGTGAGAGTGTATAATATGTGTGCACGATTCGAATGAGTAGAAAATATAATTATTTTAAATTCTCGTAAAGTAGCTTCGAAAGCCGACGAAGAATTTTTGGATTGTTGTATCTAGTGAGTAAAACATGATGCAAAGTATATTTATTTTTGTGACAATTAGGGCACATTAAGCATAGTCTTAAAAATTCAGGCTGCTAACAAGAGAAAAAATTTCTCAAAAGAAAAAAATTTTTACTATTTGGCAATTTTTACTAACTTTCTTATTTATTTATTTATCGAAATATACAAAATAAGTCTCATTTTAATATTTTTTTAAATAATTTTTTATTATTTTTTTCCATTATCATTTTTATTATTAATTTCTATTATAATTTATGTTTATTTATTTATTTATTTATTCATTTAGTATTAACTTTAATGTTTATGTTTATTTTATTTCAATATTTTTATTATTTCATTTAATTTCATTCAATAAATTCAAAAGAAATTTGATCAAAACTTCAAAACTTAAAATTAATTTAAATTTAATTCAGAATTAAATTCAAAAATTAAACGAAAAAGTTGAAAAATTCGATTATTAGCAGCGCAAGTAATGTTAATAATACATAAGTTAAATATAAGAAAGAAATTGAGATAAACATCGAATGTTGTCTCATATCAAATCGATCACTACCACATGTCTTTGAAGTTTTTCCGTAATATTTAAATATAAAGAGAAAAAAAAATTAATAGGAAAAGAGAATTTCTATATAAGAAAAAAAAAGAGATTGAGGAAAGGCCCCAAAAAGCACTATTTAGATATACATAAATATATATAAAAAAAATTTTTCGAAATCCTCTGGAAAAAAATCTAATTTAGTGATAAAATGGTAAAAAAAAATTTAGATAATTCTACTCTTTAAAAAACGAAAAAAAAATCTATCACCCAATGCATGTATATTGTACCTGTAGCATCAGCTATAATAATGTCTACAGTAGAAAAACTTTTTCAAAAAAAAATGTACCACACAATTTTATTCTATACATAAATTGTTCTAATGTACTTTATCTATCTCTTAGAACAGCCCTGGTCCAAGTAAAAGAGAAAAGTATATTTAATTTCTTATCTTTCGTGATTTATAAATACAAAAATTCAATGATAATAGTATCAAAATACTGTATTTAAATTTAAAGGAGAAAAATTCATAGACAGAAAAAATTAGTTTCAATCTTACGATGCAATTGAGTTTGAAAAAAAGTCTAAAAATAGTATATTTCGTAACGAGTGCGAGCAGTTGTCAAATTTTAAAGGAGCACTTTTTTTGGAACAAACTGTAGGCGAAGCGAAGCTTCGCCTACAGTTTGTTCCAAAAAAAGTGCTCATTCAAAAATTGGCAACTGCTAGCACTAGTTACGAACGATATTTTTCATAACAAGGTGCAAAAAAGTGCCTTTTTTTGCACCGCGTTATGAAAAATCTTTTCTGCAATGGTTATTTTATTTAAATGAATAATTATTCAAATAAACAATTATTCAAATAAATAGTTATTCAAATAAATAATTATTCAAATAGACCATTATTAAAAACAATAATTATTCAGGTAAGAAATTATTCAAAAAAATAATTGTACAAATAAATAATTATTCAAATAAATAATTGTTCATAAAGAATTATTATTCATATAAATAATTGTTCATAAAGAATTATTATTCATATAAATAATTGTTCATAAAGAATTATTATTCAAATAAATAATTGTTCAAATAAATAATTGTTCAAGTAAATAATTATTATTCAAAAAAATAATTGTTCAAATAAATAATAATTCGAATAAACAATTATTCAGGTAAACAAATTATTCATAAGGAAATAATTGTCCAAATAAATATTTATTCAAATAAATAATTATTATTTAACAAAATAATTGTTCAAATAAATAATTATTAGAATAAATAATTATTTAGGTAAATAATTATTCAAGTAAATAATTGTTAAAATAAATAATTGTTCTAATAAGTATTCGAAAAAATAATTATTCAAATAAATTATTATTATTATTGAAAGAAATAATAAATCAGGTAAATACTTATTTAATTTAAGGAAATAATTATTCAAGTAAATAATTATTTAAATAAAAAGTTATTCAGGTAAATAATTATTCCAACTAATAATTGCGCAAATAAATAATTATTCAAATAGATAATATTTTTCAAAAAAATATGTATTAAAAAAAATAATTATTCAAATAAATAATTATTATTCAAAAAACTATTTATTCAAAAATATAATTATTCAAATAAAAAATATTTATTCAAAGAAATAATTGTTCAAATAAATAATTATTTAAATGAATAATTATTCGATTAAAAAATAAATAATTAAAAATACAATTTAATTTTTTGAACCAACAAACAAGAAATGAAAGAAAACTCGTCGCTTTCTTTCTTTTTTTTAATGCAGATTTCAAGATTATTTTCTTAAAAAAAAAAAAAAAAACTTTGAAGAAAAAAGAGATTTTATCAGACTTTTTCAATTCTCATTTACAAGTTAAACTGTTTTTAAACATAGAGTTCTTTTTACAACAAACTTTGAATTTGCATATTTAAAGGTATAGTTTGGTGAGACAAATTCAAAACTTGTTTTCACAAGAGCCACACGGACGATATACATAAATAAATATAGAATTGAATCAAAACTTTTTGAGTTGCTCTTTGTATGCGAAATATCCGCATATTTTTTTTTTCTTCTTCTACTTCTTCTTTTTTTTTGTTACATCTATACTTATTGATGACTATAAATATATATAG